ATTTTTTTTGGAAAAATCTTATTTAAAATTTTTTTTTTATTAAATAGTTAGTAGATATTGTTTGTATTTCCTCAATCATGTTTTACTTTGAATAGCAATGCACCAGCAAACAACCCATGGGTGATATTTGGCATTAGCAAAATAAAATATTAAAAAAGAAGGCTTCCTCCCTCATCGATAGGGTGATAAACTAATAATATTTTTATAGGGCCTAATGTTATATTTATGCATAGGCCTCACCAAAATTAATATAGGATATTAACAATGAAAACTTGAAATGAGTTAAATACTATTTTTGTGCTTTTTTTGTTTTTAATGGATTAATCACAAATGTAAAAATATTAATTGTTATGTTGTTAATTGTTTTGTTTGACATTTTTTTATGTGGACCCAATTGAAAACAAAACTATTTAGAACTGGGTAATTCAGATCTCTTCCTAAAAAGAAGTGTTTTTTAAAGATTGCCTTATTGTTTGTTGAATGTGTATTCTTATTATTTTCTAAAGAATATTACTCTAATGTGTTTAGTTCAATCAGAGATAATTAAAAATAACCTACCCTGGTCTGATAGCATTGTCATTAAAACACTGAAGATTGTGTAGTATATATCTAAGTAACACGATTACCGGATGGCCAGTAATGGTTTCTGTAATAAGGAAGTATTTTAAGGAAAAGAAGTTTCAATTTCATTTGATTATAAGCCAAAGGAATGAATCATACAATATTATATAATATACAATATAACGTATTGTCTACAGAAAATATTGCCTAGAATAAATACTCCAAAGTACTGTAATTATGGTTTCATAAGTTCCAGAATATTCTTGTTTTGATCATTGTATTCTCGTAAACTAATTATTCCTAACATACATACATACGTATTACACTTACAGCAATTCAGATATGGCCCTTACTGTTTATGAATAAATTTTGTTTTCTGAGAATTCAATCAATACCGAAATTTAACTTGATTATAAAAAAGTGTAAGCTGGTTATAATTAAGTGAAACATCAATATGAATTAGCTATAAATCTGATATAGGTTAGGTTGTGCTTGGTTATTGTTATTATATCCTCAGCCCAGACGGAAAGTTAGGCTTTGTCTGCATAGGGAAAAGGTAACCCGCAAACAAAAAAATTAGACCTAGAAATGTGTGTGCACATTTAAAGAAAACCGAAAAGTCCACTGATTAATCTCAGATAAGAAAGTATAATACATAATCCAAGTATTGCAATACATGCCATCGTGTTGGGATTCAATATTTCGACATTAATTATGTCATCATCAGGAATTCCTGATGATGACATAATTAATGTCGAAAAATTGAATCCCAACACGATGGCGTGTATTTCAATACTTGGAGTATGTATTATACTTTCTTACATTTATAGAAAGGGGCAGATTTCCTTGCAAATTTTGCTGGCATATATCCCTCATTTGCCACCAGTGTATTGCACAGTGGTTACAATTCTACCCAGCTGTTTACTTTGATATTTTCTGTGCATTTTTGAGTCCGTTACATCAGTGCTAATAAAACAATAGAGAATGGGCCATATGTCCTTGTTCTTTAATATCATTTTAATGTGCAATATATTGTTAGTGTAGTGTATTGCATGTTCCTATAATGTATTCTTGTGCAATAACTACATGGACTGTATATTTTATTTCATACTGCTACATGGACTGTATATTTTATTTCATACTGAGAAGCAATAATTGATGCGCTCATGAATCAAACTTTGTAGTTAAGTTGCATACCTGACTTTCTTACAGTGATTATTGCTTTATTAACCTAGATTTTGGATCTGAGATTATAAATTATGTATGAATGCTTCTATAACAATGGGAAAGTACTTTCTAAATGCCTGTGAATGATACTTTTTTATAATCTATTTATTAAAGCCTTTTGTCCAAACAGATTTATCATTTCTTCACAATTAGAACTAGAAGAATGCTTCTACTCTGTCAAAAAAATCCTAATGATATTATATTGTAAGATAGGCTAGCTAGATCATATTCACTAGAGCTTCTGTGAGTACTGTTCCAGCAAGCCACTAACTATTGGGGCTTCAAAGTGCAGGAGAACAGACCTGTGAAAATTATTCTTATGCTTTTTTATGCCGTTTTATTTATTATTTTCTATGTAGTATTAGTATATTTCATGGTTATTTTTCTTTTTGTTCATGTAAAGTGCATAGTGGCAATGTTCTTGTATTATATACATTATTATTTTATTATTATATATTGTAAATTGACAGATAGTTTCTTTCCTTTTTTTTATCATCGCTTTGAATCTAGACTCAACACTGCAATGCTGACTTACTGGGATTCCTCCATATGTTGTTGTGAATTGTGTATTTTATTGATCTAATTTTCTTTATATATTTCTTAGGGCATCGATGCAGATGATATACCTAATAGTCCAGAGAGCCTCTCCAGTCCGACAGCCAAGTCCAGCTATGGTGGGAAAACTAGCTGGGCGGCTCATGCTAGGCCGACACCAAGCCAAAGTCCCCTACAAATCATGGTCACCACAAAGAGCAACGGAAATTCAACATATAACGATATCTCACGTCGCCGATCTAGTTCAAGGTAGGAAATTTGTGGCTTACTGGTTGTAATGCCAGACTTAAAATTTTATTTTCATATCCACATTATTTTAAGGAAAATTGTAAGTGCCCTTCCATGGTCTCCATTAAAATTCACTCTGTATGTTTAATTACGGTAGGAGTCAATGCCAATCATTCTTGGTTTATGTAATAGAAATTTTAGGACAAGCTTGAGAATTGTTTCTTACTGCTATCATCATCAGTATGACTTCCCTCATCAATATCATTATTTCATTATAATGATTATTCTGGAAAAATTGTAATAATTGTAATTGTAATAGTATTGTAATTTTTTTTATTCCATAGAAACCATAAAGTCTGCTATCTTTTTTAACTCATTTCAGCTCCAGCGCATCACCAATTACTAAGTCCCCAACGAGTCCAACCATTCTCACCCGCCAGTCTAGCAGCGGGAACAACAGCAGCCCAGTCACAACATCCCATTCTGGCCTAGATCGCAGGCGAAGCAATGATGGCAAAATCATATCCGCCGTAGGTCCATCTAACTTCTCCTGCACTTACTGTAACCTGCAATTTTCTACAGAGGTTGATCTACACCTCCACTGCATCGGCGAAAGTCATCAAGCAATTATTATGTCTGATGAAGGACGAGATTGGAAGTATAGACCGCCCCCTAGAGGAATCACAAGTGATGACTATGTATTATGTTCTAAGTAAGTTTTTTTTCCCAAAATTTTTTTTGAAAATTCAATTACAATTTTGAGAAAATTGCACATTGTGATGATATATACTGTGTCTAAGGTATTTTTTTTGAAATATATATGCATACTATGTACATTTCATATTATTATTATTATTAAGATTAATTGTCTGTCTTGTTATTTTTTAACAACTATTAATCTATATATTTATTTGTTGTTTTTATTTGTTGGATTATTATTTAAAATAAAAAAAATAATCAAGGAAAAAAAGAAAATTGTATTCAAATAAGATAAAAAGTGCCATTTCCTGCCATCTAGATTTGTCATAAACATAAAATTTATTACCTCAGTCCCACCATGGTTAGGGCTGGGTGGACCCTCTATCTGTGATAAGTCCTTCCCTGGACTCCCTCTATTACAAATTACTGAATATGCTACTGGCTTACTTGCTAATCATACTTTCTTTTTTATAGTTTTGTTCGCTGTCGTTTTGCTGCCCAGTGTATGTTCGCACATTCAGAGGATGAACTGGCTGAGTGGGTCGAGCGCTACCGGTATCGGCAGATGAAACTCCAGCAGGCTCGTGAAAAACAGCTGCATGGTAGTAGCTACGTTGAAACACTTCTTGAGAAAATGGTCAACTCAGCATCACCAACAGATGTGGTAGGTCAAACAAATAAGCTTTGTTATATAGAAATTTATTATATTCAATTGCTTGTTCTTTACTGGATGTCATATATATAATGAATGTATCAGACAGAGATAAGGCAAGTGAAATACAAGCTAATTTACTTCTGTATATTCTTGCTTATAAAGCAGACCGCATATAAAAATGACTCGAGTTTGAGGAGGTTTTGGACGATTTATTTATGTCGGGTGTATAATAAAACCCCCTGTTTTACCGTCGGAATTCCTACTCTTTGCTGCTTTTTATGGTGTTGATACATCAGCTAGCTAAAAATGGAGCCGAATGTAGGGCTAATCTTCCAATTAATACCATTCAATTAACTTTTTACGACCGTCGTGCTTAGTGAGTGCCAGGCTGCTTGTTTTCCATCGTAATTTTCTATTTTAAGTCTCGTCTAAAAACGTGAGAATATGGATACTAATTAAGCAAATACAATTGTTGTGACATTATATTTTTATATTTTTTTGTCTCAGCAGAGACAATATGTGAAGGGTTGTAGCTGTAGAAAACTAGGGGAAGAGAGGGGAAGGGAGAGGGTGGGTGACAACTTTGGTAATTTAATCTGAACAATAAGAGTTTAAAGTAGAGTTTTAAGGATGGGCAAGGAGGTTAATTGTAAAGGTATGTGGAGAGCCATGAAATTAGCTTTAGACTGGGTAGAAAACTTTAAAGGCTGGGTGGCTCCACCCACCATAACTATAACCCAGTATGTGTAATAAATATTTGATTGCCAGTATAACTTTATTCCTCCTCTCAAGTGGGAAATTCAATACCACTTTTATTTTCTAGATGTCGGATACAATAGAAGATGTTAAGCTTGATGTGAATTCTGACCTTAATGTTACTGTGTCAAGAAAGAGCTCTGCCAAGTCGTGGACGTTTACAATTCATTGTAATGTAAGGATTTAGACATTACGATCATATTTTTTATCAAACAATCATAACAAAAAAGATAATATTAATTAGTGAGAGCAGCTAGCTCAGTCGGCTAAATTGGTGGTAGCCACTGTGTGTGTACTGAACTGTTGAGATCTCTAGATTCAATTCCCATTGTTGCTCACATTGTGTTTCAGTTGGAGGGTTTAAATGCAAAAGTGCACTGTCCTTCGGATAAGATATTTAAGCCGTTGATCCCATGTGCATTATGGCCCATGTGCATATTAGAGCATGCATTACATTCTTCAGAAAAGAGTAGGGCATTAATTCTCCCGATGAACTGCCCAATTCACCACCAGAAGGACCCACTAGAAATAAGTCTCAGAACTTTCGTGAGTTGTCCTTGGTGTGTATCACATCGAAGAAATCCAATGTAATCCAATCCAATCCATATAATAATATTTTAAACTACTCAATTTGAAATGCTGTGCATTGTATGTGGTCATTCTCCAGGGTTCAGGGAAGGTTGTACTTTGTTCCAGTTTGCAATATTATAATGTTATCCATATATCTGCTGAAACTACAGTTGAACTTGCCTAAGTCGAATCCAAAATGCTATTGAAATACTGTTCGACTTGCATATAATTCGATTTACAGATTGTTAATTAATGGAACACACAACAATTTGTCATGTAAAATAAGATCGACTTAGAAATTATTTGACCTAGGCACAGTCAAGGCAAGTTTAACTGTATATCTTAACCTGAGAAGTATAGGATAACAATGTAAATTTTGCTTATGGGCAAGTCTTCTGTAAACCTGACATTATGTGTGTTCAATGACAGACAGCACTGCTGTATCTCTTTCACTGTATATTTCTATTTCTCCAACAGCCTCCCATGGAACTGGAGCATGTGGCTTTACTCTACGACATGCACCGTACCCATTTCAGCATTCGCAGCATCAGCACTGGTGACATAAATAAACAGGTCGACCAAGAAGTCCCCTCATCGTGTCAAGACTGGGTCAACACGCAGAACAACAATGAGACCGGCGGGAAGTCAACGGAACGCATGTACCGGATCAAGGTTCAGTTTACATCCGAGATCTACGGAACCTTCCGGCAGTCCATTGTGTTTGATTTTGGGCAGATGCCGGTTTTGGTTCAGCATATGTTTGTCGATGCCGTGTCCGTGTCCGACCTTCAGGAGCTAGATGAGATCCGCAGTACAGTGATTAACATCTCTGAGCGGTGGGATGAAACAAACAAAACAATTATTCCATTTGAACCAACCCCTCAGTTGTTCAGCGAGAAAGACAATGGACTCCTGACTTACTACCGTCCACCTCGAACTACCGAACAGTTGTTCAAAGGCTCAGTTCTGAAAAAAAAGTTAACGAAAAATAACTATCAAAATAAAATGCATGATTTATTGCATATAGAAGAGATAGCTCAGTACCAGAGTATTAGTAGGCAAGTTAAAACTGTTTCTCAATCTGTTGAGTTTGTCCAGATTATGAAATTTTCTTGGAATATAGTACTGTTTTATGGCCATATATAATCATGCTAGGATGTCATCATGACCATATTTGGGCATGTCACATGTATTTGTCGAATATAATTCGATATAGTTTTGACAGGGCTTAAGTCTGTAATCTATCTCATAACTATTAATGTTAAAAGACTGCCACACAATATTGTTGTACTTACACATACATTATGAAATTTAGTATGGAGGAAGCTCTCCATGGATTTATAATGATGTTAAATCATAATTTCAAAAAAAAAGTTTTAGTCTTATCAAATATATCATGTTTAACTCTTAGCCATTATACAAATTTATTTTTTCATATGTGAGCCATACCAAAAATTATGACTGTCTGCTGTTCCTTGTAAAATTGGTTTTACTGATTAAGAAAAAGACTATTGCCAAAGCAACTATGAACAAACCACCATGGTTACAGAAATTCCTAGCCCTGTGTTCCGTAAATTGTCTGTAAATTGAGACCTTTCTAATTTTCATGTTGATGTCACTAGATTACTGCTTAGGTTTGACAATAAAATGTTCTGATGTTTTGTATACTTTTTAAAAATTTGCATCTTCTCTTTCTTAGGTTTAATATTAAAACTAGAATCCAGTTGATAACTAGTTTTCTACTTGTTCCGCATCGGAATATTGGTGCAAGATATGCACAGAATGGCGAACTGTTTGCGTTGCTGAAATTGAATAACGAGCTATCGGAAGACCAAAGTGCCGGTCGACTTATCCTGACCAGCTGTAACCTTGTTCTTTTTGGGACTAGCAATGATGATAAGGAACCGGAGACAGTTTACACAGCGGTCATAGAGGAAAAGGGAAAGGGATTTGTTTACTTAAAGTTATCGAAGAAGTGTGTTGATGATCTTAAACTGAAGGCAGACACAGACTTAGAATGTTACGTACAATTTCAACTGAATCGGTGAGTTTAAATGTATTTTATATCCATTTATTTGACTACAAAACTAGATTATTAACTTCAAACTTGGAGTAATAAAAAATGGCAGTGGTAAGTGGCTATTTTTAAGCCAGTCTTAAAGGAACTCCTAAATTTGATTGAATGTTGTTTGTATGTATAAGATTAGGACAGTAACATTCATTCAGGAATCTCGTTCTAGACTTTTGTAAAAGTAGCCACTGCGTAAGAAACAAAACTATAGTTTAGCACACAGCTTCATAACAGAATATGGTAAAAAAGGACAATATAGATGCCTGCTGTATATATTGCTAAACTTTAAATATAAAATGTCAGAGCGTAACACAATATGGGTGACTTGTGGGCCACCAAATCTGAATATTACAATATTTAAAAATATAAAAATTACACAAAGCACAAATTTTAAAGACAGGAATGTGAAAAGAAAGCTCAGTGAGAATGACGATTTTATTTCCATTTGTTGTTATACTAATTTATTTAACTAGTAGTAGCACTCAGTGATTAACTTTAGGGGGAATTTCGTAAATAGCTGTCTCGCACACTTTATGAAAATTGAACAAATTGTAACTTGCTATTACATATTATGAAAGACAGTAGATATTAGTAAACATTCAATATAAAATGTACAGTTTACAGAACCAGATGAGGGTGACAGGATGAACGCCATGAGCTGACTGCCTAACAGAATATGAGCGACTCCTAAGTCACTGGTTTGAACATTAAAATATTAAAATATATAACAAAATTTCACCAAGCACAATTTTTAAAGACATAATGAACAGAAACAGAAAACTCAATAAAAATAACCATTTTTATTATATGTGTTCTTTTGTTCAGGTTACCTATATGTGAGATGCACTATGCGGTTGACAAGATTCAAGATGTGGGCATTATTTTTCCTGAAGTTAGCAAAGCTCTTGACATTCCTTGGACTCCCCACAGGTATGTATTCCATGGACTTGATACCCCTTCATGGATTTAGAGCCTGTTTCTAATGAATGTAAAAATGAAAGTTTTGAACAAGAAAGAGCCAATTCTTTTATGTTTGTTTAAACATTAGACAACAGCCTTTTCTCTCATATTTATACATGAGATAGCCATTTCTTTTTTGTTAAAATGCCATTTTACTACAAGTGTTTAAATATCAGTAAGTAATTTCTCTCTTTTTCAGCATAGAGCCATTTCACTCAGTTTTAAATATGAAATGCACACAAAGAATCATTAATTCCTAGTACAATTACAATGTTAAACGATAGGTTTTATCGATTATCTTATTTTTGCAGTATTGTATTTCTGTATATGTCCAATAAAATTAATTTGAGCTTGAAAGCGAGCAATCTCTGGTATACAGGTTGTAATTCCTTTTGTTTTTTACAGGCAGTGGAGTGAAAGTAGTGACCAGCGATTGAATGCTAGGCAGAAGGAAGCAATAATCGCAATTACCTCACCTCTATCTTCACCATTGCCACCAATATTTCTGATTGGTCCATTCGGTACGGGGAAGACTTACACATTAGCGCAAGCAACCAAGCTTATATTACAGCAGCCCAACACAAGAGTCCTTATTTGTACTCATTCAAACAGGTATTACTAGTGGTGGCATTGATTATGGTAGTGATGGTGATAATGGTATAATTGTGATGATCGTTGTGATGGTAATGATTATGGTGATTGTATGTAGCGATAGATCTTGGTAATGGTGGTTACAATCGTAATGATGGTGGTAGTGGTGATAATGGTGATAGTGTTTGTATTGATAGGTAATGATATCGTAGTGGTGGTAATAATGGTGTTGTTTTTAATGGTAGTAGTGATGTTGATAATGATGTTTATAGTGATATCTTATTTATGATGGTAGTGGTGGTTTTTAATGGTGGTCACCATAATGGTAGTGGGTGCTGTTTGTGTTAGTGGTAGATGATGGTTGTTATCCTAACAATGCTAATGGTGCTGGAGATATAAAAATAGTTTTTATTGCAACTACTGAAAGTTGCATGAGTTTTTAAACATTTTTCCTTTACGTTCTTCAACAGTGCTGCTGATTTGTATATAAGGGATTACTTGCATCCATTTGTGCTGGCTGGAAATGAGTCTGCCCGTCCTCTGCGTGTATATTTTCATGGACGATGGGTAGCTACTGTTCATCCCACCGTCCGTTTGTATTGCGTTATGTCGGAAAATGAAACACAATTTGAACATCCCACCAAGGAAATGGTACTTAAGCACCGGGTTATTGTAGCAACACTTAGTACGTCAAGAGTACTCAGCCATTTGGATATAGAGCCAGGTAAGTTTTACTCATGATTTATTATGTATCATGCTTTGGATCTTTCTCTGTTTAGAAAATACTTACCTGGATGAAACAACTAATTGTCATTGGTCGGTTTATCCAGGTAAGTATATGTTCATAGTCTACCAACATCAATTCTGATTTCTGTATATTTTATCTTTATTTCTTCAAAAGTATAAAATTTTCCAGGTAAAATTTATATCATAGTGGACTGTATGCAACCAAAACAAAAACTGTAAATGTTGATATTTCATATTTTTATACAATGCAGGATTCTTTACTCATATATTACTTGATGAGGCTGCACAAGCAATGGAGTGTGAGACGATTATGCCGCTTGCCCTAGCAAATAAGAACACGCGGATCGTCTTAGCCGGTGACCACATGCAGATTAGTCCACATGTGCATTCCGAATTCGCCCGCAACCACAACCTCCACATATCTCTTCTTGAACGACTCCATGATTTGTACCCGTTGGAGCACCAGTGTAAGATACTGCTCTGCGAAAACTACCGATCACATGAGGCAATCGTGGCTTATGCGTCAAAACTTTTCTACGAGGGTAAACTTTTATCTAGTGGTCAGCAACCAGCCAGCGAAAAGTATTTCCCGCTGACTTTCTTCACAGCACGTGGGGAGGATGTTCAAGATAAGAATAGCACAACATTTTACAATATTGCAGAGGTAAGATTTACCAAACATTAGCCTAAATTGAGAACAGCTTAGCTCAGTCGGCTAATCTGGTGGTAGCCACGGTGTGTGCGCTGAACCATTCCCATTGCCGCCTCTCCTTGTGTTTCAGCTGGAGGGCTGAAATGCAAGTTGCAATAGCGCACCGTCTTTCTGATGAGACGTTTAAGCAGTTGATCCCGTGTGCATTATGGCCGATGTGCACGTTAAAGAACGCAGTACACTCTTCGGAAAAGAGTAGGGGATTGTCTCCCGGTCGGTGTACTGCCCAATCACCACCAGAAGGACCCCACTGGAAATAAGCCTTCTTCTAGACTTCGTGGGCTATCCTTGGTGTTTACACCGAATAAATTCAATCAATCAATCAATAATCTTCTCATGTATCATATTTAATATGGTATGAACTTTGACCTATCTGCATTTGTGCCATTTCTCTGAAGGACTATCCACACTCTTATTGTCAACAATCTCTTGCTCTTCCATGTTAGTAAAGCAAGATTTTTTTTTTATATCTTGCTTTGAGAACTTATTTTTTTGAAGATCATCAAAAAATATAATTGAATAAATAAAATTTTGTTTTCTTAGTTAGCAAATGGTTTTTCCAAAGACATTCAGACGTAGTAGGAAAATATAAAATAAAAGTTTATTGTTGAATGTAAACAGTGTAGTAATGAGATGGTTAAATGCTTTAAATTTATATAATTGGGAAGAAATAAATAAATAAATATATATATATATATATATATATATATATCACAGTGGTCGTGGGACTAGTTTGGGCCCTACCTAAGCTGGTCGAACGTTTGGTTTGGGTCTGTACCCAAGCTGCACTGATGAGGCCTGGAAGGCCGAAACGGATCCGTCTGCAGATATTGGGATTCCTTCCAGTGGATGCTTAGTTTATTTTGTCATTCTGATTGGATTTTCTCTACTGTTCCGTTTTAATTTTAATTTTAAATTGTTTTGCATTATATGGCCGTTTGCTGTTTTATGGGTTTTTCCCATTTGTCTTTCAAACTTATATATATATATATGGCAGGCATAGTGAAGAGAAAGAAAAACTTTTACTTTTTTCTGAAATTTCCATTTTTTTCATGACTGCGGGTGTGCGAATTGGGCCAAAATGAAATTTTATTTTTTATTTGAAATCATCAAAATTTCCATCCTTAAAATCTACTCTTACTATTTAGAGTTTACCAATGTTATCCCGCACCCACCCATAAAATGTCTATCACCCATGCTTAGTTTTCTTCAGCTACAACCCTATCTACATATATGCTAAATTTAATTCCATCAATTCTTTATTTATCAATTTCATAAAAATACAGAAAACGATAACAGATGCAATGATTAAATGATAATATAAATATTTAAATAATTGTAATGAATGAATGAACTCCAAATAGCTTGTACAGATAAGATTATTGTTTTCTTATTTTTATAAATCTTTAAAAAAAAGGCCTAATCTAACAACTTTTAAGAAAATTAGATTAAAATTTTTAAAAAGCTAACCTAAAACTTACAAAGGATGGGATTTAAAATTAAATTTCAAGGCAAAATGGAATTCCATTGCCAAGGCAGCCAAGTTCTCAATTAACTTTAACAAGAATTTTGTCTATTCTAACTTCCAGCCTTGAAGTTTTTCACCCAGTCTAAAGCTAATTTAATTGCCCTCCACCCACCCTTATTAACCCACTTTTCAATCCTTAAAATCCACTCTTATTATTTAGAGTTTTATTACCCACCCACCCTTAAAATGTCTAACATCCACCCTCATTTTTCTACAGCTACAACCCTAAACAAGGTATAAAAAAAAAGTGTTGTCTAATGGGCAAGTGAATGCTGGTCTTTCTGGAATTTGTTTCTTTGCTATTCAGTGAATATTGAGGTCCTAATAATCTAGCAAAGAAAAACATCTTTTTACTTCAGATTATTTTCTGTACCCGTTTTCAAAAATATCTCCACATCTGATCTCCACTAGGTTTATGAGATTGTTGAACGTGTGAAGGAGGTTCAGAGGTCATGGCCAGAAGAATGGGGCAGTCTTACTGACACCAGTATTGGTGTGGTGACTCCGTACACTGACCAAGTATTCAAGATCAGGTCTGAACTCCGTAAGAAACGTCTTGGCAACGTTACTGTTGAGAGAGTGATGAATGTTCAAGGTAAGAAGCCTCCTGCATGTGGCATAGTGTGTAAGGCATTGGACTTTTAATCGGAAGGTCAGGGGTTCTAGACCTACACTCGTCACGCTGCTTGTGTACTTGTGCAAGACACTTTATCTGCATTTACCTCTTTTCACCCAAGAGTATAAATGGGTACCTGGTGAATGATTTTGAATGAATTAGTAGAGCTGATTACACACATATGGAATACTCCCCATGGAGTGGTGGAAGTTGCATGTTGTGTATGATTGATTCCGTATCCAGTGACCAAGGACAAAGTGCTGAGCGCTATATGATAGCTAAAATTAATTAGTTAAATGATTTCTGAACTACAAACAATTTTCATCATGTTTATTTAATTAGTGATTCATGTAGTAAACGCTGATCATCTGCATTCTTTGGTGCTCTCAGTCAGGTTGTTTTATATGTTGTAAATAAGGAATGCAGAGCAAGTAAGTTAACCAAGTCTACTTAGTGATGAACATGTCAGTTGAGTACCTGGGCGCTCAAGTCTTTCTATGCAACTTCCATTCACCTACAGTACATATGGTTTTATCAATTTTATGACTTAACTGTATAAATTTCTTGAAACAGTTTTGCTAATCTTTTTGCTTTTAGGCGAGACTTTTTTTATACCTTGTTTAGCGAACCTACCAACTGCAAATATTGATGATTTCAAATAAAAATTTAATTTTGTTTTTGGCCACGGAAAAATGGAAATTTCAGAAAAAAATAAATTTTTAAATAAGTGCGCTAAACAAGGAATAAAAAAAGTCTTGCCTTGCTATTGGATTTTACTATTTTATTATTAGATAAGAATTTCATCATTTAATTACTTTACCTTGTTGTTTTAACTTTTTTGATATATGTTTGTTAACAAACATCAATGTCCTCTGCGTTTTAGATTAAGATTTTTATCATATTTGTAATTAAGTCTCTTTAAAAATGTTATTAATATGCTGTTATTAGATATTTTGCATAATTTTATAATTTTGTATCACCAAACTGGGCCATGTGTAAAACAGGTTAAGTTACACCCTCCTGATATGTTATCTTGTATAAATGTGTTCAATAAAAAAATAAAAATAAATAAATATGAAACCTAATGTAGTGGAAGCACATAATTTAAAGTCCTCAAGCTGTATGTTTGTTTGATCTATCAAATTTCTTTCTCTCAGGTAAACAATTCCGTGCATTGTTTATTAGCACAGTTCGTACCAGACACACCTGTAAGACAGACGTCTCAGGCATATCTACTTCAAAGAGCAAGAAAAAAGGTTCTACCGCTACTGATGTTGATTACGGGTTCCTTTCCAACGATAAATTACTAAACACCGCCATAACTCGGGCACAAAGCCTTGTAGCAGTTGTTGGAGACCCAGTTTCTCTCTGCTCCATTGGAAAATGCAGGTTTGTCTAAAATGTACAAAATATGTGACCACTCTGATAAAAACTTTATATTTGCATTTCCAAACTTCACACTACCAGTCAAAATACCCTGAGATATTTTGACCAATTTCAGGTTTCATTTGTTTATGCTGTAAGAGGTATTAGAAAGCAATTATAAAATATTATCATTGTATTAAATCTAATTAAAAAGTGAAGTTAAACTTGCCTAAGTCAACATAGCTTAACTCGAATAATTTTTAAGTTGAACTTATATTACATGCCAAATTTTTGTGTTTTCCATTAATTAACAATCTGTAAGTTGAATTTTATCTAAGTCAATTTTTTTTTAATGGCATTTTGGATTCGACTTAGGCAGGTTCAGCTGTTTATGAAATCGTTTTTAAATACACACCTCAATGACTGACTGTTTTCTTGCTTTGGTTGTTTGATAGTTGTGATAGCTTTTTTCAATTAGTCTAAACAGATTAAAAATATGTTGTTTGTCAAAATTTGAAATACTTTACTTTTAAGTGATTGGTGTTAAGAAATAACCTTTTTGTAAATTTTCAGAATACTGTGGGAGAATTTCATTAAAACCTGCCATGAGAATAATAGCCTGCATGGAATTACATATGAAAGTATCCAAGCTCAACTATCCGGTGTGGAGTTGAAAAAGACATACACCCTGAATCCTCTTGCAAAGGAGTTTATCCCAAGGGCATTAAGAGCACAAATGACGGGTGTGCCAGTTTACCAAACAGCATTACAGAAGACTGTGTTATCACCGGCTGGTACTCCAACACCACCGTTGACTCCTTCACCGGCTAGTAGCCCTTTGGTTGGAGCTCCAATCAGAGCAGCAACTGTTAACCCGTCTTATCACCACCACCATCATGCCGCTATGTACAGGCACCTGAACCCTGTAAGTGTGGATCCCATCACTGGAGGCAAGTACGTGTACTTACCATTTGTACCTATGATGCGAATGCCACCGTACATTCCTATGGGCCACCCACTCATAGATCCGTATAAAAATCACAACCACTTTCCAATGCGACATTCCCCAGTTCCTGGAATTGGCACACCGCCAGCACAGCTATCACCGAAGCCAAACCAAGGAAATGCATCAAGGCCTAGTGGCCACCAGGCTCCACATGCACCTGGGTATTATAATTCAGCTCAGCAACAGCAGCAGCATTCACCAGGTGTCATAACAGCACAGCATCATTCGCCAGGTGGCCATCCTCCACTGCATAATTCTCTTGGAAATTATCCACAGCCGGTTAGCTCACCAGGTGGGCATCAACCACAGCATGGACCACAAGTTGGTCCTCAGTTCCATAATTACCCTCAACCTGGTCATCCTCAGAATATGTCATCAGGTATTCCATCCCCGAAACATCACCCTCAACCCAGCCAACCAGGTGGCCACCCGATTCAGCACAATAATTCTGTTGGCTATCAGAATTACAAGCCAGGTGGACCTAACTCATATATACCAGGTAGCATAAATCAGCATCATCAAGCTAGTGGAGTTTTAGCAGTTGGCAATGCTCAAAGCGGCATGCAGTATATGCCAGCAGGCCAGGGCCAACACAAACCAGTGCAAACGTCTGATCATCACCGTCCATTAATTGCAAGAAATCCAAATGGGACCAATAACACAGGAGCAAATATTAAATATAACCAAATGGTAAAAGACAGCATCTCACCTATGGTGGAACTCAGTAAAATGCTACAGAAAATGCCACACAACCCTGGGAAAATTGGTTTTGGAGAACAGGGAAAGAATACGGAGGCATCGCGGTTCACTGCATCTGGTGAGCACACCACAGACCAAATGAAAAAGACTGAGCTTATGCACAATGCTCAGCATGACTTTGGTAATGTATTGTCACTGAATATGTCACAGGAAACTCGACCTCTTAAACCAGGAACCATTAATGGCAGTTACTCATTTCCTTCCTTTCGACAAAATTCTGATGCTAATAGAATCCAAACGGATAGGCAAGCGCAACCGAGATCAAGAAACCTGCAGGAAGCATGGAATGAGCCACCGGAAGCGTGGAAACGTAACTTATTTCAGCATGGATCTGGTGCCGCTTCACCTTCTCAGGGTGATGCATCTAACAAACCACCACACCAGAATAATCTCTTCTTGTCAGAAGGATCAGGATCATACAGCACCGACTTTCCTCCTCATCCCAATCAGCAGTCTCCAAATAGTTGGTCAAAGCCGTTAAGCCCAAGAGTACCGAGTAATCCAAGCCATTCCCCTGTGATATCAGAAGAGGCCAAAGCCCCAGGGAAGTCATATGCCAGTGCCTTGAGGGCACCTCCTAAGCCTAAACCTAAATTGGTAGATGACAGAGTTAAAGCAGCATCACCAGATCCTCTGTCAGTGATCAAAGACTTAGGAAGCAGGCAGAATAAAGATGGATATTATTCATATTTTAACTAAACCCCTGTCCAGACTATCAAATTTTATTTGACAAAAACATGTTTACATGCCTAAATATGGCCATGATGACATCACATCATAACCATATATAGCCACATCAATTTTCTTTGTTGAAGAAAATTGGATAGTGTGGACAAAGTTCCAATATTTTCTTTTACCTGGCTATATAGGTTTCACTAATAAATGTGTAAAATATTCTTTTATTCTTGTTAAATTATTTTACTTAAATAAGTTTATATTAAAGAGTGTTGTTTTTGAGATTTGGATAACTCCTAGATAAATTTATTATATTATTTACTATATTAATTTGAAGTGGCTTGTAATTAAGAATAGGTAGAATTTGTTAGTTTAATGTGAAGTGTTCTTGCAAATTTCCTAGATATGTATCTTAATTTTCAGAAAATACTGTATACAAGAACCAAATGTTGTCCTTCAATTGTGTTAAACCCTGTCCAGGCTATTAAATTTCACCAAAAAAGAGTGACATGCTGAAATATGGTCAGGACCATACATGAGGCATGTCGTGGCAAAATGATTAAGTTTCCGAACAGGCCAGTATTGTGTAAATAAGCTATAAATTATGGGAGCTCAAAAAATGACTTAAAAAGTAATTTTTTAAAAATATTTTTTACTATAGAACAACAGTTTAAAATTAATGTCTAATTATTCGTGTCCCAAAGTCTTAGTTCTGTAAAATGGTCAACACATTGTTTATTTAACGTTATTTTGGTAGTTAATTCCATTAAACAATGTATGCACAAATAACTTAGGTAGGCAATTACTCAAAAAAATGTTTATATTAACTCTAAGAGTGCTGTACTTCCACCTCCCAATGCTTGAAATATCCAATTTCAATGAATGACCCCACATTTTAAAGATTACATTCTCAGGTATCTGAAAATACTAATAACTTGAAATTCAATTTTTGCCACAACATGCCTCAATAGCCACATGATGACTATTATATGGGCATATAACAGTTTTGTTGTCAAAGAAAATTTGATAAGTCTGGACAGAGATTTATAAAATGAAAATATTTTCTTTTTGTATTTTTACAAATCATTAACTATCACATTATTTAGAGGCATTTCTATTTACTTATTTTTAAACCCATGTTAAATTATTTTTTTATAAGTGATTTTCTCAATGATTGAATACATGAGAAATATATGTAGATTGAAGAGGAAAAGTAGAATTGATTAGAAATTATAAGATACCAAGAAACACTTTATTTGTTATAGATTTCAGCATGTTCAAAATATTTCATTAAGTACAGGCCTAACTAAAAAAACAAAAAACAATATTTATAATGTACAATGTGAAAAAAATGGTCGTTTCTCTAATCTTGTTTTTGTTGAAGATTATAATGTAGATAAGAATATTAATTATATAGTGTGTATATAAGAAAGAAGACAAAACTATGGAAACGGTTAATTTACTATCTTGGTCTTTAACAGCCATAGAATTTTAGGACAAAAAATGTTTAGAAAAACAAAAAAAAAGGAAAAAATTAAAATGAAAAAAAAAATGTAAAAATAAATTGTTTAACAATCTGGGGTATCTTTAAATATCTTCTTGATTATTTGATATATTTGACATAGTCTTTGGTAATTGAATATTATAATTATATAAAAAAACATTTTATATATTCTTCCACTTCAAGAAAGATAATAATTCTGAACAGAAAAAAAATAACTTTTAAATCGCCACACTGGAGTTCCAGTAGTGGTTTAAAGTTGCAAAAAAATATATAAGTAGCATGAACAAGAAAAATATATGTTCAGCTATATGAAAAAAAAATTAAGGTGTTGCCTCCTTTTTATCAGCCTTTGGGAGAAATATACTATTAAATACAAGATAAAAAGGTGATTTCTTTTTCATATGAAAATTATAAGATAGAAGAATGTTGGCTGTTTATAAGATTAAAATATATGGCCGTTTTTATTTAATTTTTGTTGTCCAAAATACAGAAGAAATCATTATGCTTTATAGTTGGTTGTTGCATTTATTTTTTAGGTAGTTGATATTGTATATAAGATGATGTATTACCTGTTCTCACCAAAAATGCTTAACAAAAAAAAAAAAAAAAAAAAAAATATTTAAAAAAAGGCAAAAAGAAAGTATAAAAAAAGGAGGATGTGGGATATACAAACAGATCAACAAATGAAACTTGTTAAATATTCATGAACTAATTTGCATATTCATTAGTGATTCAATTTAACAAGTTGATAATTTGTAATTGATGTATTATCAGTGTATTATATTGAATTTTTTAAAAGAAAATTTTCTTTCATCTATTGTAACTTGGTTGATAACTAATTCACAGTGTGCCGTAGTATAGGATGAATATATTTATATGTTCCGTGGCAGTTAAATTTTTAGCTGTGGATCCAGGAAGGTCCACAGTTTTGAAATTTCATTTTGTTTTTCCTTATATAAGTTTGCATCTATAGTTTTGTAATAGATAGATAGAGATAGATAGTAAATTCACATTCAGTAAAAGTAATAAAAAAGTGTGTGCTTTAACTAACTTTGCCATAGGGGTTGGCTGTTAACTTTGTGAGGGCCAATTCATGATCTTTAAATTAAAAGACCAAATCCAACCAATTAAATCAATTGAATCATTTAAATCATTTATCATGGTGGATAAACATAGTGATTTTAATTTTTTTTTTTTTTTTATGAATATGATTTAGAATTCTATGTAAACATTTTCAGATAATTTTAGAAATCAGGTGTTTTTTTACACATTATACCTACAAAGAAGTAAAAATATATTTTGGTTATTATTATGGTTTTTGTTATAGATATTGTATGAGGACATTTCATTTACAGTCGGTAGTAGTACTGTATACCAAATTTGAATATTTAAAAAAAGACAAAAAGTGAAAAAAAAAAAAAAAAAAAAAAAAAATAGTAAATAAAAAAAAAAAAAAAAAAAAAAATGAGAAAAATAGTAAATATTAATAATTTGTATATATACATTAATAGACATACATACGTTTACAAACTATATAAGGATATTATAGTTAATAGTCATCCAGAAAAAAAATGTGTCATATTTTGTTTGGGTTCTTTGGTTTATAATAGTCTTTACATTTGTTAGGTTTTGTGAATTATTAATGGCTTTTGTATTTCTAATACATAAATATTGGCAACTTTTAAATATGATCTTTGAAATGTAAATAACTAGTTAAAAAATGGGATATTTTAAGCTAATTAATTTGGATAATTATTTTCACATTTAAAGATAACATTACTTTTTGTACAACATATGTTCCGTTTTTTTTTTTTTTTTTTTTTTTTTTTTTTTTTTTATCGTTATCGTTGAAGTATAAGCAGGCCTTAATGGTTGTTTGGAAAATATATGAATGAAGTACGAAGGGCGCCGCCCTCTGCTATATTATGTCTAGTGCTGGTCACTAACAAGAGGTTGATAAATGTTTTTGACAATATATAAGAAACTGTAGGCCATGGTTATTGGAACAAGAATGGTACCATAATGTTAATAATTCGTAATAAAGTAGTTCTCTCAAATGCGCCCCCAACTTATGCCTTAAATTATAAAAGCACTTTGGTGCTTAATCTGGAATGTTTATTATTATTATTATTGTTGTTGTTGTTTAGGCGAGACTTCATTTTATACCTTGTTTAGCGAATCCGCCGCTCACAAATAGTGGTGATTTCGAATAATAATACAATGTTATGTTTGGCCAATTAGCGTACCCGCCGCCACCAGAAAAACAGAAAGTTCAGAAGAAAATAAAAGTTTTCCTTTCATTCGTCCATCACTGCCTTGAAATCTTCAAAGATAAGATATGTATATTTCTTCCTAATTATATAAATTTAAAGCATTTATCCTTCCTATTACTATACTGTTTACATTTACCAGTAGAATTTTATTTTTATTTTCTCCTCTAGATGTTTTTGGCAAACCTATTTGCTAAATAAGAACAAAACTTTTTTTTCCACCCTTTAATGATCTTTAAAAAAATAAGTTCGCGAAACAAGGAATCAAAAAGTGTTGCCTTACAGCTGTATTATTATTATTACTAATTTTATTTTTATTGCTCCCTGGATCAGTAAAGAACGTATATACAGTATTTTGGTAAAAAAAAAAGAAAACACAATTGGCTCACAATGTGTTCACGAATTTAGTATCCACAACCTTGCACTTATATGATTTAGGCGATGTATAAAAGATAGTATCAGTATTTAATGTGCCTTTCTTGAAATGTGGAGGATTGAATTGCTAACCAAGGTGAATATTAAATGTATTTTAAAGTATATTTACATCGACTATATTTCACATTTAGTAGGCCAGTCAGATTAGCCCTATGTCCATTACCATTGAAAGTGTCTAGCTATTTGCATACTTTCCAGGCCACGTGTATGCCAGCCTATGTATTGCATTACAACCAATGCAGGACATTTTTAAAAGGATGTTTACCTTGTAATGAGGATGAATACTTTTAATGTTACCAAACCAAATACATTTTAATGCAAGGTTGGTCATTGTGGTTAACTTAGTAGGATGCAAGCCATTTTTACATTCTTTATTGAACGTTTCATGTGTGCGTAACTAAAGCGGCACTTTGTTTTACAGGTGCCAAAAATAAATTGTTAATAAATTTCATGATAAATGCATAATTTAAAAGTTTAATTGAATAATATCTACTAGTACAGTATTTGTAAATAATACTTGTATTATCCTGTGAATATGAATGTATTTTTAAATGTTTACAAAAAACGGCAAGAAATTTTTGAAGCTCCAAATTTTCTAGATCGATACATTTTGGCGTTTTCTTGACTGATAAATTCTTAATACTTGGTAATTGTTGGCAACTGTTCGCTCTTGCGCCTTGCGTTATTAATTATTTACTTTAAAATATTAATATTTGATTTGAGTAGCATTATTGTATAACCTGTTTTGCGTGTTTTCATTTAGAGTAAGGAATTTAAACGATTTACAGTATTCTTGCGTTCATATATCAAACCACAAAAACAGACTGATTCTTTAATACGTAATAACATCACATCAATGTATGCACACTGATTGTCGGAAGTTTTTGAGGTACGGAGTCGTTGGTTAGTAG